CCCCAAAACCCCAAAACCCCAAAACCCCAAGTAAGTGATTATTTCAATAAAATTGATTAGTATAATAATAAATTAGTAAAAAAATGCATAAAATACTAGGCTTTAGGAATTAATTTCAAAGATTCATAAACTTGCCAGCAGTAAGAAAATTTTCTATTGCAGCCACCTAAAGCCAAAATTTCCCAACATTCTTGACTCAACAGCCAGGTCACGCTGATATCTTGTATTCTGAGTCTAACAATATCATATTCAACCTAGCGATTGAAGAGTATATGTTTGAGCATCTGCATGTTGTCAATCCCGTGCTTTTTATTTACAGAAATGAGAAGACCATCATTATTGGAAAACATTAGAACCCTTGGAAAGAATGCAGAGTCTAGCTCTTAGAAGAAGATGGTGTCTTACTTGCTAGGAGGAAATCAGGTGGAGGCTGTGTATATTAAGATATGGGAAACTCAGTATTTTCCTTCATCAATCCAATTGAGGATTTTTCTAAAGAAGATTATAAGACAATGAATAATGACATTCTCATTAATGCATTGTCTAAGTTTAATGTCTAGGCAGAGCCATCTGGTAGGAATGATATACATGTAAATGGAAAAAAGGTGAGTGGCTCAGCCTATAAGCTAAGTCTTGGAAAGAGAGATGGTAGTGGGAAAAAATCTCTTCACCATGGCACTATGCTCTTAGATGTTGATCTGAATGCCCTGCAAAGATACCTAAACCCTAATAAATTAAAGTTATAATCCAAGGGGGTTGAAAGTGTGATTAGTAGAGTAATGAATCTTAAAGAGATTCATTCAGGAATTGGCCATGAAAGCTTTGGCTAGCACTTATCTACAGCTTTCAGGCATAAGTGGCATGACAGGACTGTAATTGAGAAATAAATACAAGTAGATGATATGAAAAATATACCAAAGCTGATGGAGATTTACGAGAACTGCTAGAAGTGGGATTGGAGGTTCGGTGAGACTCCTAGCTTCACCAACTAAATCGAAAAGAAATTTGAGTGGGCTTTAATGGATGTTTAGTTTGATGTGCAAAAGGGTAAGATTTCAAAGGGTGTAGTTTACAGTGACTCATTGCTCCCAACATTCATAGATGAGATGAATGAGATTTTAGCCTCTGGAGAAATCAGCTATGATGTAGAGGGTATTAAAGATTTAGGCAACAAATTAAGTTAGAAATTCTAGGATAATGAAGTAGTTATCAATAAATATGTACCTGAGCTAGTTTAATGGATGATTGAAGCTATTTGAGATATTGAGGTGATTCTGGAATAGAAAATGCTATTGATGTTTGTCTTTTTAATAAACTGCCTGAATAAATTTTATTTTAATTGCATTAATTAATTTACAACACAATAATAGATTGATTAGATAGCAGATAAATGTCTGATTCATTTAGAAAATCATTCAGAGCGGATAGTTAAAACTCTCCCAACAAATCCATGATTCACAGTAAAAAGGGCTCGCAGATGGGAGGCAAAATTTATGTAGGCCTCAATGACGTGGACAAGCGTAGAGATTAGATTGAGGGAAGTGGACGGTTGTTTAAGTACAATGACTAGAATATAGGCCAACTCAAGAACTTTTTAAATCCAAAAAACGACATATACAAACTGCCGAAGGAGAAGCTTGCACGAATGCACAGTCTCAAATTAGTAGATCCTCCTAAACTTGTGAAATAGATAATAGACAAGAATGACTAGAGGATGGAGCGACGAGAGAAGCTGAATCAAGAAAAAGCAGAGAACCAGAAGCACATGATGATCATGAAGCAAAGGATGATATCGAAGATGTACCTCAAAGGAGGCTAGATTGGGGCAGATGTGGACCCAAATGACAATGACCTCGATTTGATACAGAATGAAAAGTTTCAAAAAAGCCGTAGGAGAAAATAGAGACTTGAAAAAATCATGTAGCAAATCAATAGAGACGCTGACCTTGACCAGTTTAAGTTTCAACCAGATGAGCTAAAGTTTCCTTATTCACTTCATGAGAGGCGAGTAACAACTCAAAAGTTGCAAGAATATGATGAGCAACTCCCGGATGTAAGGGACAAGTACTCGAACATCAAGAAAAACAAAAAACTGCTTTCTAATTTCATCCATAAATCATCTTCCCAGCCTAGTTTGATACTAGATAATAAAAATGTTCGATTAACTTAGACAGTTGGTGGAACTGGAACAGGTGGAATGACTAGTCGTAGATAATCTATTCAGATTGATCCTGAGTAAGAGTTCATGGAAAAATAAAAAGCGCTTTAAAAGTAAAATCATTAGAGATTGAAAGCACTTCGACAGGAAGTGGTATATATTAGAAATAATTTACATTAAGAATCCACAGAGTTTAATTAACTTCTGGGCATGATATAAAGTTTGAAAGAGTTCTTCCCATTGAACACACTATTGTAAAAAGAAAGAAATTTCTACAGAGAGGCTAGAAAATCTATTGGATCTATAGAAGAGCTCAGAGATTATCAAAAGTCATAATTAGTTATCATAGATAAAAAATAGAATTACCATACGAGACAGCAGAGTTTAGACGAGAAATTTGGAAATAAAAGGCAAATTCAAAATTTGATCAAGAATAATGCTAATTAAAACTTTATAGAAAAATACAAGATATAGAATTTTTAAGAAACCGGCTTGAGCAAGGATAAATATTTAACATAGTTGATTAACATCAGGGAACTTGAGAAGAAATAGCAACTCATGGAGAAAAATCTATACCTCAACATGAATCATAATGATTTAGATGATACTTCGAGTGATGAAGATTCGCATTAGATCACTATGATAACAGAAGGAAATTTAGAATCAGTGGACAGATAAGGGAATGAGCATCACACACCTTTCAATAATAAAAATATGCTACAATAAACTTAACCAAAATTACCCTTAAATAAGCCAAAGAGTCATAACAATCTTTAATCAATCTAAAAGACTCTAAATTACCCTAATATCCAGATTTCATCATTAGGACAGCCAGCTTCTCCTTCACATGATAAAAATCACGAATTTCTTGATTTAGACAATCTATCTTTTAACTCCAAAGAACTTAATAGTCCATTAAGAAGATCACCAACAAGAAGTCCTTCAAAGAAAAAAGAGACGAAAGAATCAAAACTATTACTCTCTAAATTCCATGATGATCCAGTAATACAGTCTATTATCACAAACGGCTAGGTGAGTTCTTTCCTTAGAGTAAAAAAAAATCAAATGAAAAAGGAGAAGAACATGCTCTAACTGATACCTAGTCTAGAGTATGTAGATGCTTAGTAAAGTATAAAAAATGCTAGTTAAACTGCAAGAAATAACCAGAATCCTTAGTTGAGTGAGTATCGAAGAGCTTCGTTAAACTTTGAAGCTGTCCATGAGATTCAAAAGAACAAGACAGAGAGACAGCTTTTGAAGAAGCTCTAAAGACATTTTAAGAAGATTAACTCTGAGCTACAGCCAACAATATCAAGATCTTAGTTAAACAAATAGCTATCAATAATGGAAAAGATAAATGAAGAGGAAAGACACAGAATAACTGGATCAAATGTTAAGCTTTCTCAATGCATGCTAAATATAGTTGATGGTGTTCATTAGCAAGCAGCTTAATAGCCAATATCGCAACTCTCTTAGCATCAAGATGCATCTAGCTCAAATAAATTGACCAGTTCACCCTCATTTAAAAAGCCTATGAATGGAGTTGGAGGAAAGAATCAGTAAAAGCATCATGAAAATATTGATCCGCTCTTTAGCAATGAGTACTTTTAAAGGAAATATAGCAATTATGAGGAGGAACATCTAAAGAAGGATAGTGAGCTAAGAGATATATAGCACAGTAGCTTGAATAAGTTCAAAGACCAAATATCCTAGGTAAAAACAAGTCTTTTGACACAAATTCAAATGAAGGAGTAATTAATTAAAGAATTCAAAGACAAGACTTTAGATATGCTCAATAACAAAATGCAAAAGCATCAATCAAATCAGTAAAAGAAATCAATCGTTAAAATGACTACAATGAAGAAGGGAAATAATGTTATTTGAGTAGATCAAATAATGATTCTCTTTTACTAATTACTCAGTGTGAAAATGTCTACCTAGAATTTTTAATTGATTTGAGTTATTAAATTATTATATTCTTGATTTAATCATTTCAATTATTTTAAGGTTATATACTATATGGGGTTTTGGGGTTTTGGGGTTTTGGGG